TGGTTATTCTAGCCCTCTGTTGGGAACTTGGGCCATTATGATGAATACGCATCAAGGCCACTGCTCTTACAGAGCTCCCTGCCTGGTTGCAGTGGGGGGTGGGGTGGGCAGGGTGTGAGGAAACAGAAACCAACACACACAGAAGATAACGCCAAGGGACCAAGATGCCAGAAACAGGGAGTGTGGAGAGAACGGGGGAGGGGGAGTCTACTACACTATAGAAAAGAGGAGCTAGACTTGATCGACACCAAGGAGCCTACTTTGAGAAGAGCTCCAGACAGGTGGAACAGCACGTGCAAAGGCCCTGAGGTGGGATTGTGTGATGGAGGGACAGCAAGGAGATTCGTGTGCCCGGAGCACAGTGGGTGAGGCGGAGAGGGTGGGGGGTTTGAGAGGGCCCTTGTGGGCTTCGGCTTTGACTCTGAGTGAAGCAAGGCTAGATGAGATGGATCCTCCCAGCTGTTGGGTGGGGGGCAGTCTGTGGAGGAGCAAGCAGAGGCAATTACAGGGGTCCCCCAAAGGTAGGAAGGACAGGGACCAGGAAGGGTACAGAAGGTGGGCGTATTTTGTGGAGGACAGTCAGGGTTTTTGGAGAGTGGCATCCTGGTTTGTGATGTGCCTGGCTCTTTCTTTAAAAATAACAAACGCAACAACTCTGATCTATAGTGATAGCCAATTCCTGTGGTGTAAATTCTTCTACTGTGGCCAGTTTCAGGCGATGATATAATCTCAGACAGAGATGGGAAGAAACAAGACGTTCTAGTTACATCATGATGTAGGATCTCCATCATAGAGAATAGTCAACTCACCTCAGCTCATAGCGGCCCTAGAAGGCAGAGTAACCACCCAGAGCAGATGAAAATCACTCCAGGAACACAGAGTAGAAGAGATGTAAGTAGAAAGTGATAGTTTTGAGTCTTTATTACCTTTGCTTTTTGATACACTTTATATAGTGGTGCCGGAGAGAGAGGAAGCTTTCTGTTCTCATAAAGAGTTACACCCTCAAGAGCCCCCCCAGGGGCAGTGCGACCCTGTCCTATGGGGTGGCTATGAGTCAGAATCGACTCTGTGGCAGTGAGTTTGGTTGTTGAGCCTGCATTTAACGGTGGCACTGTCAGGTTAACCTCAGACGATGAACCACAGGTTGGTGGTTCAAACCCATCACCTGGTTGGTGGGAGAAAGATGGAGGATTCTGTTCCCAGATGAGTTTGGAAGCAGTTTGTGGGCAGTAGGGCTGTTTCTTCATGGTTTCATTTTAATACTATCACAAGAACATGTGTCATCGCTGACATGATAAGCTGGCGGTGTAGGGGGTTAGGCGTAGTTGGGCTGCTAATGACAAGGTTGGCAGTTCTGAACCCACAGTGCTTCCCTGGAGAAAGATAAGGTTTTCTGTTCCTGTAAAGACGGACAGCTTCAGAAACCCACAGGGGCGGCTCTATCCTGTCCTAGAGGACAGCCAGGAGTTGGGATCAACCCAATGGTTGTGGTGAGTGATAGAACATATCATAATGCAATATACCATGCACATCAATCATGATGCTATAAGAACACATCCATTTAAATAGGAACTATTTAAATCAAATTACAAGGTAATATAGCATGGACACAAAACCATTATAATATGTAATATACTTTTAGATCGAAATAGATTTGTTTAAATCTCACTGCCCTGGAGTTGATGCTGACTTGTAGTGACCGTCTAGGACAGGGTAGAACTACCCCTGTGGGTTTCCCAGACTATAACTCTTCATGCGACTCGTCTTTCTCCCTCAGAGGGGCTGGCGGTTTTTCCAAACTGCTGAACTTGTGGTTAGCAGCCAAATGTTCACAAATAGACACAAACACAACTCATCCATGTACATCTATTTATCACACACGTGCATGTGTACAAATGGTTTACCAGGGAGGGATTTAGGCGGATGGCCACCAGCGTTCTGGAGATTGTCCCCCGCTCTCTGGAGGAGCCCTGGTCTTCAGGTGGCCTGGATAAAAGGGTGACTGACAGGCCGGGGAGAAGCAGGCAGTGTGTGGCTGTTCTGGGTCCTGGGCAGACAGAGCAGGGAAAGGCTGCAGGGAGACATCACCAGTTTGGCTTTAGAGGCAGTGTTTAGGGACCTCCGTGAGATCTAGGTCTAGTTGGGGCGGCAGTGGGGGTGGGGGGCGGTGGCTGGGTGTCCACAGCTCTGCTGAGGTGGGGCAGCGGCTGACCACCCCTTGGTGCTGCCCCTCAGCCCTCAACAGCCTGACAGGCGAGTTCAAGGGGAAGTACTATCCATTGAAGAGCATGACTGAGCAGGAGCAACAACAACTCATTGACGACCACTTCCTGTTCGACAAGCCGGTGTCCCCGCTGCTGCTGGCCTCAGGCATGGCCCGAGACTGGCCTGATGCCCGGGGCATCTGGTGAGCTTGCTCCCCAGACCTGCCCCTTGGCCTTCTGTACCCCTCCGGTCTCTCCCTGTCCTTGTCCTAACACGATCCTCCTTAGCATTCCCTTCAAAACCAAGCTCCTGAAATGCCCTTTCCACGTCCTGCAGAAAACGATGATGTCATTTTCTGCCCTGCCCCCTTGCCCCTGTGGCCTGTGTACCACATTTGGGGTAAAGGTGGACTAAGAGGAGTGGTAGTTATGACCTTGGACCTGAACCAGCTTCCCTGCGTTGAAATCTCAGCTCTGCCACCTAGGACTTCTTCGAGGGGTGGTGGGGAGCTATCTCACCATTCTTTGCCTGTTTTCCCATCTGTAAAATGGGGGTACAATGACTGGCAGCTCTTGGGTTTCTTGGGGGGTGCTGCTTTGGTTTAAGCATCAATCGGGCTTCTAACGGCAAGAATGGGGGGGAGGGGTTCACCCACCAGCTGCCCTGCAGGAGAAAGATGAGCCAGTCTGCTCCTATAGAGATTGACAGTCTTGGGAAACCAAGGGAGCAGTGCTACTCTGTCTTATTGGTGACTGAGTCACAGTGGGTTCGAGTTTTGATCTCGTTTAGAGGGGCCTTGAAGTCTCAGAAGGAGCCTTGGTGGCGTAGTGGGTAGCTTGGGCTGCTCACTGCAAGGCCAGCAGTTCAAAACCACCAGCCGCCCTGAGGGAGAAAGGTGAGGCTTTGTATTGCCGTAAAGTGTGACAGTCTCAGAAACCCA